GGGAGGGGCTTACCGCTTGCGTTTCTTCTCCTTGGCCTTGTGCTTGGCCTTGGGGCTGGGCGAGCTGGGGGAGGGGCGGTGACGTCAGCGGGGAGGCCACGCCCACAGCGAGGCCACGCCCACCAACCCGCCTGCCGCTCCCCCTCCTTACCGGTGCTTTCGCTTCTTGGCCTCGGATTCAGACCTGAAGAGGGAAGAGGAAATGGGAGGAGTTAGCGAGGCCACGCCCCTTACTTTAGTTAGGCCACGCCCCCTTTTCGCAATGCAGTCGCTGCCCCCAAAGGCCACGCCCACTCTCATTTGCGCGTTGGCCACGCCCATTTTTAATCTGGCGTGTGAGTGCTGCCCCCTGGTGGTCACGCCCTCTGGTGGCCACGCCCCCTCTACCGCCTGGCCACGCCCCCTCGGCTGCCTGGTCACGCCCCTTCAGCCGCCTGACCACGCCCTTCAGCCGCCTGGCCACGCCCCCTTGGCCCCTGGCCACGCCCCTTCAGCCGCCTGGCCACGCCCCTCGGCTGCCTGGCCACGCCCCCTCGGCCGCCTGACCACGCCCCTCGGCCCCTGGCCACGCCCCCTCACCTGTGCTTCTTCTTCTTGCTCTTCTTCCTCTCCCCGGAGCGGCTGGCGGACCTGGGGGGAGGGGAGACCCCAAATCCCCAAAATTTCACCCAAATTCCACCCGAAAATCCCCGAAATTCCTCAAATCCCAACGGAAATCCCCAAAGTTCCACCCAAAATCCCCAAAATTCCACCTGACATCCCAAAATTTCCACCCAAAATCCACCTAGAATTCCCCAAAATTCCACCCAACATTCCTCAAATCCCACCCAAAATTCCACCCAAAATCCCCAAAATTCCTCAAATCCCACCCAAAATTCCACCCAAAATCCCCAAAATTCCTCAAATCCCACCCAAAACTTCACCCGAAATCCCCAAAATTCCTCAAATTCCACCCAAAATCCCCAAAATTTCCACCAAAATCCACCCCCGGTGCCATGAAGGGCGGTGACGTCAGCGGGGAGGCACCCAAAACTTCACCCGAAATCCCCAAAATTCCTCAAATTCCACCCAAAATTTCACCCAGAATCCACCCAGAATTCCTCAAATCTTCACCCAAAATTCCCCAAATTCCACCCAAAATCCCGAAATTTCCACCCAAAATCCTCCAAAATCCCACCCAACATTCCCCAAATCCCACCCAAAATTCCTCAAATTCCACCCAAAATTCCACCCAAAATTCCACCTTAAAATGCTCCAAATTCCACCTGAAATTCCTCAAATTTCACCCAAAATCCCCCCAAACCCCCCCAGAATTCCCAAATCTTCCCCAAAATTTCCCCCAAAACTCCCAAATCCCCCCTAAATCCCCCAAAATCCACCCAAGAACCCCAAAATATCCCCAAAAAACACTCCACGAACCTCCAAATCCCCCAAAATTCCACCCCAAATTCCCCAAAATTCCCCCCAAATCCTCCAAATTTCCCCCAAAATCCACCATAAATCCCCCAAAATCCACCCCAATCACCCAAAATTCCCCCAAAATCCACCC